ACACTGGGCCAAGACCTTCAGTACAGAAAAATGGTCAAAAGCGTGGGTGCCAAAGCCAGATGACCAGGGTTCAAATCCCAGCTGCCTACTAGCTGTGTAACCTTGGGCAAGCTACTCAACCTCTCTGTGCCTCGTTTCATCTCTGAATGGGTCTTGTGAGGGCCGAGTGAGCTCACAGAGCTAGTAGGCCTGGCTCATGGTGCATGCCTGTGGTGGCGATGTTGGCTACGGTTATTATTATCGCCCGTAGCAGCTAAGACCTTACCGTGCTGCCCCCAGGCTCTCTGAAGTCAGAAGTTAGAAGTTAGAAGCCTTCTGAAGCCCTGTTCTCTCAGGGAGGCCTTTCAGTGTGTCGCCTTAGTAGGACTGGAAGGCTGGATGGCCTTGGAGTGAAGTCCCTCCAGCTGCTGCAGGCCCCTGGCCTGGCGAGAGATGAGAAGCCGCCCTCTGTTCCCTTTCACGCCCTGGTCCTGTGCCCAGGCTGGAGGAAACCTCATTCATATCTCACTTTTGCAATACAGGCAGCCATGTGTAACATCCTGACGTTCCCCCAAGCATGTAAGTATAATAATAATGATCTTAATGACAAATAGCAGTAAAACTGAATGACAGCGGCCCTGTTGGGGGTCTGTCTTTGAAGCCAAAGTTCAGCCTCCCATGTGCTGCAGGGGAATCCGCCAACTCCAGCCCTCCTTGCCAAGTCTGCCTCTCCTTTTGTGAGTCTCGTTATGGGAAGCCAAATTGCCATCACAGTCCCTTGCCTGGGGCTCCAGGATGTTAGGCAGCCCCGGGCTTGGCTGCAAGCCCCCATTGGCTCACAAGTGCCAGAGACACCTGCTCCTGTTCCTACTGGGACAAACCCAAGAAAGTCTCATCGTCCTTTCTGTGGGCTCTGAGCCTGTCCTCAGAACTAGGCTGGCTCCCTAGACCATGAGAACCAGAGAACCAGAGTGGGTCACAGACACCAGCTGAACTGGACCAGTGCTGTCCAATAGGAAAAAACTGCAAGCCCAAAGTGCATTTAGCAGCCATGTTTTTGAAAAGTTGGAAAAGAACTAGAATAATAATAAAAATTTTAATGAGCTATTTTGCATGTTTTGTACTAAGTCCTCAAAATCTGATGTGCATTTTACACCTAGAGCACATCTCAATTTGGACTAGCCACATTTCAAAAGTTCAGAAACCATGTGTGCAGTGGCTCTACTGTATTAGACAGTGGCTCTAGACAGCTCAGAAGGGACAATATAACCAACATCCTAAATCCTAAATCATGTGTATCCGACTGTGTAGCTCCAAGCGGTGCTCTCCGACATTGCTTCCTTTTTGCAGTGAGGCTTTGGTTAATTGAAGATATTTATTAATAGCAGCTGATCACTGAGGGAAACCTATACTTGAATTTGCAATGGTGAGGTTGCACCCTATCCCCGGTGACTCAGATCTTTAGAACTTCCCATTTCCTCTAGTGCAAAGCCAAGGGTGACAGATTGTAAATTGCTCCAGGAAGACATGTGCTAGCAAAATTCTAAATCCCCATCCTGTTGTTACAATTGAAGGCACCACAGTGTTCAGAGTAATTTTGTAATCTCAGTCCAGTGGCTGAGCAGACGGGCTGTTGAAGCTGACAAATGCCATGGCAAGAAAAACGAGCCCCTGTCACCTGGTGTTCTGCTTCTGGTAAGCCTTGGAGGAAGGAGAGGGCGTCATCAGAAGGAGTCATAGGAGTTTAATGCTATGGAAACAGAAAATAAAGAGTCAGTTGGAACCAAGTTGGTACAGAATTAAAAACAAAAACCTTCAGGTGGCCATGGTGTTTTAGGATTTGTGAATCATTCTGACCCAGAAACAGGGCTCTCACACCCTCCTTTTTGATGGCTTTCCAAATTCAGATGTTCCCCACCACCCAAGCAGAGGGGTCTTGTTGGTAAGACCGCTGAGATATTTGTAGAATGTAAGGTAGGAAACAAAGCGTCGCCTCCCTCCTTCAGCCGCTACTGATCCTCCTCCTAACTCACACGGCAACACAGGTGCTTCAGCTCTGCCTCTGTCAGGAGCAAAGTTACTGAGACACCAAGTAAGATAAACAGATGGCCTTAATGTAAGAACAAATTTTAATGGAAGGGTTTTTGAACTGCAGTTACAGCAATTGAAATGATGGTTTCAAATCTCTTTAAACTAATCCTGAAGGCCCTTTGATTAATATTTTATGAATCCCAATACGAGTGTATTTGAAAGCCATAAAGACTGTATCTTTGAATATGTCCATATTCAGAGCAGCATTTACTAATCAATTGATTGGCTTCAGGCAATTCTCTTAACTTACTGAAACTCAGTCTTCTCTCCTATAAAATGGGATTTATCATCTGGTTAAAATTATAGCAGTTCTTTATGTTTACATAGTACCCTGCAGTTTTCAAACAAAGTCCTTTTACATTCGCTCATTTAACTATCCCCCTGGTCTTTCTGGATGAGCAGGGTTTTTGACCACGTACATAAAGAGTGTCTCTCGTGTCCTATGTTCCATCCTTGAGAATTTATGGTGTTTTTCAAAACAACTGTAATTTTTCCATCAAAACAAAATGTTTTTATTTTTGAGAAAAGGAGAGAATATTCTTTGTTTCCCTTCAATTGTAACAACAGGATGGGGATGACTGTGCCTCTGGATGCTACACGTCGGGGGGTGTGTTCTAATCAGACTTTTGACTGCTCCAGCTGAATTCTCTAGAGCAGCTATAAAGAACAAATTCTGAAGCAGGAAATCCTCAATTCAAACTCTTGCTCTGTCACGTATTAACTGGACAAACCTTAAACAGATTCCTTAATCTTCCTCAGCCTCTGTCTTTTCATCTGTAAAATAGGGATAATTGTAGTATCTACTTTATAGGATTATTGGAAAATCAAAGCAAACAGTGTCTATTAAGCACCCCTTCGATGTTTGGTGTTTGGTCAATACTCAGTAATGGTGTCTGGAACCATGTTTATGTGTCAGGCATTTTTCTGGGTGCTAGGGCTTCAGTGATATATTATTAAATAAATAAACTGACTACAGAATAGCAGGTTGGCATACTCCCATTTTTTAAAATGTATATGCACACATATACCACACCTAGAAAAAAGATGAAAAAGTTTTATGTGAAAATAACACCATTAATATTTCTAGGTGGTAAGACTGTAAATAATTTTACTTTCTTATTTGTTTAGCTTTTTTTTTCCTTCTAATTTTTCTTCAGTGGGCATGCATGGCTTGTGGAATAAAAAGAAACAAAAAAAAATTATTTTCTAAAAGAATGATTTTACATAGTCATGGAAAATATGATGAAACTGGCATCAGGTAGGGGCATAAATTCAGTCCAACCCTTTTTGGAGGGTAATTTGCCATTGTATCAAAGGTTATAAAAATATACAATATGGATCTAGTAATTTCCTGTCTGGGAACTGGAGTAACATGTATCATCTCTGGGTAATAGATTGGAGACTCATTTCATTGAGTTCTTTGTTGTATGTATTTTCTACGTTTTCAGAAAAGAACATGCAGGAAAGAATACAGGTAGTAAAAGAAATTAGGGACTTTTTGTAGGTTCCTCTGGTTATCATTTTCTTGTCCAGGAAATGAGCTACAAAGCTGCCAAATCCAAACATGGACCCCCTGGTCACTGCCCACACTTAGGCAAACCGTAGGAGCTTATATTTCTCATTCTTCATGGAGAAATATGAGTAATACATTAAAGGCGTAAAGGTGGGCAGACGTGCAGAAAGTTTTCTTATGTCCCAAGACGTTTAATTAGACATTCTGGGCCATTAAAAAAAAAAAAACCCTAGAACATGTCAAAGTCATATGTAAAATGGTAGAATGGTTGTTCTGAGTACTTGTTAGTATGTCTTCACCTCGAATCCTGGGGCATGATCCATGGATCTGGGAATTGTGTGCAGTATGTATACAGCTCACCTGAGAGGTAATGAAGCCAGTGTTTTAATAAGCCGTGCCATGCTTAGAAATGCAAATGCTATTACTCCCTTCCATGGTGGGAGGTTATAGAATTATCCTAGTACTTCTGATGGCCACAAAGGTAGAAGGAAGAGTAGAAGGAGCTCCACGCAGCCCATCGCCCAGTTTCAACAGCTGCCTACATTTCGCCAACTCATTTCATCTATTCTTCCCCCCACCTGTTTTACTTAATTTTTAAAAAAATGTATCATGTCATTTCACCCCTAAATACTTCATCTCATACATTTCACCCATGAATACATTCCTCTCTTACTGGAAGGACACTTTTTAACTTGTCACCGTACCATTATGCCACCTAACAAAATAAATGATACTCCCTTAATATCATTCAGTATTCACATTGTATCTTAATTTTTTGAATTGTTTCAAAATTTATTTTTTACAGTTGGCCGATTTGAATCAAGATTCAAATAAGGTCCAAATATTGCATTTGATTATTTTATGCCTCTTTCAAAATGTTTTAAAACTTTAGTCATTCAACAGACTGAATGTATATCACTGTACCTCTGTGCGCAACACAAGAAACCTAGTACTTTTACTTTATTCTTCCTCCTCCTCCTCCCTTCTTCTTCTTCTTTTTCTTCTTGTTCTTCATCATTACTTTTAATGAAACTCTGTTTCATAGTTTAATCATCTTATGTATCAGACCCTAGCTGTGAAGGACCTCTGTCTTTTTCTAAAAATCAAATCTATTTCAGTGTCCAAATATCTTCCACCAATTAGGATAATTAAATCCACCTTCAAACAGTGCTGTGGTCTCCAGGTAGATTCAGAAGAGGAGTCCCAAAACAGGTTTTGGGCATTGAATCGTGGGGTGATAGTTCTCAGTGTGTCTGATTTAAAGAACCCTCTTCCCTTGGTGTAGAAATCAAAGAGCTTATTATCACCTCACCAGCATGAACTGAGTGTATACATGCCTACCTGCTTGACCTACCTGTTCTTACAGGGGCTATTTGATTTACCACTAAATGTAATTGACGTATTTGTCTTCACACAGATAATCGCTTATCAGCCGTATGGGAAATCCGTGGACTGGTGGGCCTATGGCGTCCTGTTGTATGAGATGCTAGCCGGGCAGGTAATGTTTCGCCACATTTTCATGTTTGTTTATTACAGTATCATGTGAATACTTCAGCTCTGTTGGGGCACTGAGAGCAGGACCTGACGATGATATTGGTCTGACTTTCTAGACCCAGGTGAAAGAGGAAGCAATTCTGCCTTGAAAAGTAGATTATGTTCAGTGTGCACAAAAATTGAAAGCTATAGCCCAGAGTGTAGACCACGTAGCTTTCACAGCATAAACACAAGTCCCCTGCACATTGCTGACAGCAATGGCCTCTGTAAGTTTTCAGGATCTCCAAACTGGGGTCAGGTTACGGTTCCCTATGAGTTTGTCTACAAAGATGACCCCAGCTGCTGCCCCCGTGTATAATTGGTATTACTATTAATAAAGGAAGAACACAGCTACATTCGAATAAGTGTTTTGATAGCTTTTTCCCATTTCCTCCTGTCTCACCCTTGGCAATTCATTGTAATTTTCACAGAAGTCCAGGGAGGCTGAACTTGCAGTTAAGAAAGGTAAATTAAGTTTCTCTTAGGGTGTGACATGTATCAGATAACCAGGTTATCTCATGGCCTTAATATCTATATCATCGGGATAAGTCATATTAGCTGTGTTAACAAATAACCCCAGCACATAGCACAGGTTTATTTCACATTCTCGGCACAGTCCTACGCGGAGGTGGGGCACTGACCCACACGGTCATTCAGGGATCCAGGTTTCTTCCATCCATCAGCTCCACCACCTTTCATGGCCTCCGATCTCGCCACTGATTCCTCCTCATTTCAGCCAGCCAACAAAGAGAGCACAAGGACAGTCGCACAAAGTGTTCTAGGGGCCAGGCTAGAGGTGGCATGGATCACTTCTGTCTACATTCCACTGGCAATTTGGTCCCACTTAGCCATAAAAGGGTGGACATATAGCATATCCGAGAGGTCAGCATGGGGAAGCAAGTCCCTGATAAACATCCAGTTCCCTGCCATTCTGTTGTGGGCAGCTTTCTCTAATTCCCAGCGCTCAAGTACTAGTGCCAAGGAGTTTGCCTGCTCGTAGCCAAAAGCCTTAGTAAGAGACAATGGGAAGAAATGCCCATTGTTGTGCAGCAGAGCTACCCCCAAAGAATTCTTTGTTTCTGGAGGAAAAAGTCGCCTTTTCTGACCTGTCACATCCATTGACTTATTCATTTATTCATTCAACATGTATTTATTGAGTGTTTACTATGTACGCGGCAACAAGAGTGAACAAAACAGACAAAAATCTGTGCCTTCGTGAAGCTTACAGCTTAGAGGAGAGGTAGTAGATAAGTTAGATGAGGAAAATACATAATATGTCCAAGAAAAGCTAAGATGAAAAGTCATGAAGCAGGAAGAGAAGACAGTGTTGAGGGAGAGTTAAAATTTTAGCTCAGTTGGCCAGAGAGGGCCTCACATAGAAGATAAAGTTGAGTGAAGAGTAGAAGGAAGTAAGGGAATGTCTGTGTGCATTTCCGGAGAAAGGATTCCAGGCAGAGGGAACAGCAGGTGCAAAGGCCCTGAGGTAGGAGCGGGGGAGGAAGCTGCCAGCATGGCCAGAGCAGAGTGAGCTAGAGAAGCAGAGTGGCATGCCTGAGGTCAGTCAGGAAGAGGCTCCGGGTCATCCCGAAACTAGTGGCTTTCACTGTGAGTGGGCAGCCAGGGATGGTCTCTCCTTTATGTCTCTTCCATTATGCCTTATATCTCTTAGATACTAAAACAATCTTTTAGACAATAAAAGATTTACAGTACTAGCCTGCATTATTTCTCAATGGTGTTAAGACTTGATTGACATTAAGAGACTGGTTTGTTTATTTAGTATTTATTTAGTTTTTTTCCACCTCCAATCGAAATGTTTTTCTTAGGCCAAATACCTCAGCATATGAACACGGAAAGGCAGGTTATATACAGTTGCTGTCAGTAACAGTCAGTGAGACAGCAGCTGGGGACACAAGTTCCTAGCGCCTGAAGTTAATTTCCCTTCTTTAAAATTTCGACAATAAAATTTGACTCCAAATTGCCAGCCCCCAGGAACCATGCTGTTCGTGAAGGCACAAAAAGCCAAGTTCCCTTCCTTGATCCCGCTTGAATGTTCAACTCTCGAGTCCAGAAAACAAACCCTGCTTTCATTAAGGGTCACATTTGCATATGCCAACAAGTGAAACTGGCTGTATAGAAACATAGTGGGGATCCGTTTCCAAGGGCACTTTACAAGAGCTAACGTGAGTTGACTCTTTACTGGCCAACAGACTAGAATTTCAGAACACAGGCCTGCAGGAACGTCCTCTGTCCCCTCCCCATGCCTGGCTTCCCTTCTCTCTGAGCCTTCCTGGGGCTTCATTCCCTAGGGGAGAGCTCAGGGAATGGTCTGTTCCAGCAGGAAAGCCCCCTTTAGGGCGCGCTGTGAAGTCCTGGCCCTGAGAGGATTTCCAGGCCTGCCTTGGAGGTTTTTCTAGTCTTGCTCACGCCCCACGGAGCGCTGGGTTCCTGCTCTCTGCGCCCAGTGGGTCCGTAACGTTCCAGCCTCTTCCCATCATTTCCCCTCCTGCTCCTCAGTGCCAATTAGCCTGCCTTGTATACACCCCTTGAAGTCTTCATAATCTCTGTTGAAAATGGCGGTATTCTTCAAAAATGACACCTTAAAGGCATCCCACATTCCGGTGCCATGGCGGGCACAGATAACAGCCTTTCTTCCTTCAAAACTTCACTTTGCCTGCTGCAAACACAATACTTTCATTCAGAGCCCCTTCTTCATCTTCCTCTCTGACTCCTCAGTGCAAATTTAAACGTATTCCTCGGCCGCGACTCAGCCCGGAGAGGATAATGAAGGCTCTGAGAGTATTACCCACAGCTCACAAAGCTCCAGGAGTGTCAGAGACCAGCCAAGGGGATAGATGCTGTTATTGAAAAGTAAGATTAATTATAAAGTTGTTAATGGGGCTGTGGCCTAAATTGGTCCTCTTTAATCACAGAGGGCTGAAGATGAGCAGAAAAAAAAATAGTTTATTGCAATTTTCATCTCATTTGTGTTATTTATTGTCAGCAGCCAAGGGGACAGTTAAGCATAAACAGCCTGAGTCTTTATTCAGTTGCTGGATCGCTTGACAAATATAAGCACTTTTGGGGCATAAATAGTATTTACCCAGCACTCTAATGAGCATGTCGCAGCTCAAAACGTTCACAGTGTTCATCATAAAGGGACCGGCCCTCTCTTCTTTATGTCCCTCTCTGCCAGGGTTATTTATGCTTCGTCTTCATTCCTGATGAATCAGTAATTGCCACTTTATCTGAGAACTTCAGTCTGAGTTGTCCATGGGTGCTCTCCCACCCCCCACCCAGGGTATCAGTGATTTGCAAATAAACATGGCAGGGGGCCAGTGGCCACTTACTCTAGTAAGCAATTTAGGAATAATTTTGTACCCCAGCTACTCGGGAAGCTAACATGGGAGGATTGCTTGAGCCCAGGATTCAAGACTGTAGTGAGCTATGATCATGCCACTACACTCCAGCCTGGGCCACAGAGCAAGACCACGTCTCTTTAAAAAAAAAGAAAAAATCATTTTGTAAAGTGTGAACCATCACTTCTCCTCTTTGTTTAAAACTCAAAAATTACATATTGTTAAGGGTTGAGGGGAATGTAACCCATTCAGAAAATTTCTAAGGTAACCCAAGACTTGTTAACAGGTAGCTTAGCTTGAAACATTGAGTCCAGATTTGTAGAAATTAAAAATAACCATGAGAATGGGGGAAAGAGGGGAGAGAAGCCATCCAAAATGGGCATGTGCTAAGTACCTCGGTGACACGGTAGCCTCATTGTCCCCAGACTAGGTGGCTGGCATTTCTGGAAAGGAAAAAGAGTATAATCATAATTTTCACCATTGACTTGCCTGAGAGCAAGTGCTTACCTGTCAGAATGCTCCAGGGTGGCCTGGAGGGACTTAACAAGAGCCATAAACATGTTCACATCCTTTGGCTACATAATGCCACACCTGGGACATTATTCTTAGGAAGTAATTCAGAGAAGGAAAAAAAGGTTACGCATAGATGTTTATAGTTGCATCAGTTATTAGAGTACAACGCTGGAAGCAATCGCCAGTGTGCCCACGGACCACTTGATCGGTCATGATGTCTCACCTCAGTGGCATTCAGCTCTGAATGTAAACGGCGGTGGCTGCAGAGAAAATATGTTTGCAACAGTCCGTGAAAAACGAGGAACTCCAAATCGTGCATTGTAATTTGAAAATAATGCAGGAAAGCCTAAGAATCCACATAAAAATAAGAGCAGTGTTTGTGTTTAGGTAAAGGGAACGTGGATGCTTCTTTCATGGATTTCACCTACCCCCAGTATTACATAATTTTAATTTAAAATAGGGCTTCAGGGAGCTTTTCTGAATGTGAGGGTCATTACTGCTGTTGAACAGATATTTCTGGCCTTCCTCCCTCCTGGCACATGGGAGGATTGTACTTCCGGCTTACTCGTAAGTGCGTGGGGCACGTGACCAGTGCTGGCCAATGAGCTGGGAGAGGAAGTGCTGGGGTGGGGCCCTGAGTTCCAGGTGTGGGACAGCCCAGAGCGCATGCTCCAGCCCTGCGCGGCAAGACCAAGATGGCGGCCGCTATGTCAGGGTTGGACCCTGGGTGACTGCAGTCAGCAGAGCCCTCTGCCCATCCCAGTGGACACGTAGCATAAACAAGAGACACAATGTGTTGGCTTAAGCTTTGGAGATGTTCTTAGTTTGTTGCCACCGCAAGACCTAGCCTAGCCTTACCCTAGATCCCCCCAAAGGCACAGTTTAGATACAAATAGTCTGCATCTGGAAGTAAGCCGGTCACAGAGGACGCATATTGCATGATCCCCTTTGTATGCGATGTCTAGAGTAGTCAGATCCATAGAGACAGAAAGCAGAATGGTGGTTGCCAGGGGCTGGAGGGGCTGGTTAATGAGTGCAGTTTCAGTTGGGAAGATGAAAACATTCTGGAGGTGGATGGTGATGATGGTTGCATAACATTGTAAGTGTACTTAATGCCACAGTGCTGTGTGCTCAAAAGTGGTGAAGATGGTCAATTTTGTTCTGTATATTTTATCACAATTAAAAAAATGGTATATATCTTTGCAACAGAGGGAACAGAGCAGGAAAAAGTATGTGTTTGATTTGATGGCATTCCAAAGCTGGGAGGAGGTGCTTAACTACACCTCTACCTGTTACCCAAGGACAGTCCTCTTCTGCCTTCTTCAAGGTCATTGTCTGCAGCCTGGCAGGTAGTTCCAGAAGCAGCACAGAAGCTGCACAGGCCTGCAGCTGTGAGGGAGGCTGACCCGATTCCCATTGGTCCGTTAGTGCTGGGGAATCACGCCAGGTCTCTACCCTAGAGGCCAGTCCTCTCTGCACGATGACTTAAAACATATCCAGCCCTGGGGCTGCCCCCTCTGAGCTTTCAGAACTTAAACTGCTGCATATCGTACAGGATAGGAATCAGCCTTCTGAAGTTTACTAAGACGTTCTTCCCCCACATTAGAGTCCTCTTCTTCATGTGCTGAGAAGAACAGCAGCCGAGCACCCTCCACTCGTCCCTACCTTTGCCCTACCAGGAGTGGCGCTGGGGTCATCCTTTGCTGGCTAACTATGGGGCAGGCAAGGAGAAGCGTCATTGCTCATAATGGCACAGAGCCCGAGCTCCGAGGTCGGGATGGCTGTGCTAGTCCCTGCATCCTGAGATTGTTCTGAGGGTTAAGTGAGTGATGCTGACAAATTACTCCACACGGCACCCGATGTGCAGAAAGCCTGAGACGTGACCATCACTGTTGTCGCTGGTGCTGCTCTTCCCTCGTGCCCATGGTCCTCCTCCTCGATCAGGAATATAAACTTGCAGTGGTCGAAAAGCGTGGTGGGTACAGGCATGCCCCCTCCCTGGGATGTGGTGACAAGAGAAGCCGTAATCCTTGGGCCCACACCAGAGATGGAACATGGCGTGACTCTTGAGGCTCTGTCATAGAATTTGCTTTTGTGGCTTCTGTAATAGCTTAGGGATCCTATTGCAGCAGACAAGCCTAAGAGGCTTCTGAGTATCCTTCCAACCCCAGACTAATCATTCACCTTGGGTTAAGCAGCTTTTGTTATTGTAGGACTTCTCAGGGCCTTTAAAATGGAAATGTTAATGCAGATCTCCAGAGAGGGGTAGAGAATGCAAACTTTGACCCAGAAATATGCTGTAGGGCTAATGTTCTAAGGAAGACTCTTTGGGGTATGTCAGGATCCAGGTGTCCTGCCCTCAGTGGGGTACAGAGAAGCCTCCCTTGACCCACAGAATCCCTGATATAGCTGTTTCCATTTCAGAAATTAGCATATGTGGGGACAACACACCTGGCAAAGCTGGTCCCCATGCCACGAGACAATGGAGCAGGTGTGGCAGTCCCCCATCCTGCACAGAACGTTCCCCCAAACAGTTCCTGGTCTTCCATATTTGGGGAGGGAAAGGAGAGGCAGCAGCTTCAAACGAGGAGGATCTTCTCACTGCCTCACTCGAGAAAGATTCCTGGGAAGGAGTCACCTGCACTTCTCTTAGGCCTGTGGTTTGAATTGTCCATGACTCGGGCCCTTCAGCATTCCTGCTGCTAGTACTTGAGCGCTTCCAAAGAGGCTGGTTGAATCTCGCTGGCACCTTTGTCACCACTCAGTGAAGTGCCCCACATTTGGCCCATGCAGTGACACAGACCCTGAGCTCAGAAGGTCCCTGCATGTTTGGTTTAGTGCTCTGCTGGCGCCATCTTGAAACCCTTAATAGTTTCTTAATAAGGGGCCCCGCACCTTCCTTTCGCACTGAAATCTGCAAAGCATGTAGCTGGTTCTGACCAGAGGCCCTCCTGGGCCACGTTGTGAGTTGTCTGTCAGTGACCCGCAAGCAGAGCTTCTGCCCCGCTCACCTCCAGAGCACGTTCATGCTGCAGAGAGCATGCACACAGAAGTTCAGATGCTCGGTGCCCCTGCAGGGGCACAGGTCATAGCCCTGAGCAGAAACCATGCCACATTTTTTTTAGTTATAAAAATCTCCTTTGCCAAAAGTTGCCCACATTTATGGATCGCTGATCAGGGAAAATGGGGCGTTTTGTGGGTATCATGCAACAGGTGTCCAGAAGAAGTAGGTTGTGCACTGTCGGGCAGGGGAAACGCGGTGGGGTGGCCCTGGGGCTGGCCTCGCACCATGGCTCTCAGCTGGGTACACATCCCCCTACTGACACAGGTGGCATCTGCAGCCTGCACTCCCCAGTGGGCACTCCCAGCCACCTGCCCGTGGAAATCGCCATAACAGGCTGCCTCTACCCTGTTCTGAGTCACCTGCAGGCGGGCTAATTTTACTTCTCACCCACCTGCGTGCTTCCACAAAATTAAACTTTCTTTATACCAGACACTTGTAACCAGAAAAGAGGCCTATTTATTTATATTTCAAGACCAAAAAAAAAAGTTAAGTGGAACAGGCACCCTGCCCTCTGTTCTCCCTTACCTGGACCCAAGGTGGGGTTCTTTATAGAGTTGGCATCTTTCCCTGGGGGCACCTGGCTCCTGTGTACTGACCCCACGCCCAGCTCCTGTACGGGGCCAGGCAGAGGGCCGAGGTCGAGTCTCGGGGTGTCAGATGAACAGGGGGGGTTTGTGGGAGGTGGTTGAGGGGAGGGGTCTACTTGGTTCAGTTGCTCTATCTCACTGGGAAGGGGGTTCCGGTAAGAAGGGGCATCCTGCCAACTGCACAGTCGTCTTTGATCCATGATGTAGTTTCATTTTAAGCCAAACACCATCACTCTCTGAATCCTACCCTCGTCAGCCAAAGTGACCGACTCCTTCATGAGAAAGGAGCATCACAAGATTAAACACAGGACTGCCCCCTGCTCTGCCTTTTTTATGCTAAACTCAAGGTTACCCGAGCCAAAGGGGACCGCTAAGGAATTCCCTATGACCCCTTCCTCCTGTGTGCCATCCGGCCAGAGTGACAGCTAATTTGACAGATCCCTTGGGATTAAAGACACACTGGAGGGAAAAGTTTGCAGGGCATCCTGAGCTCAGCCTTTCCCCCTGGAGGATTCTCAAAGCCCCTCCCAAGACAGCCCCTCTGCCTTAAATAATGATACCACCAAGTAGCCTTCATCGGACACTTAACAACCGTGTCGGTACAACGGTACAACGCAAAATACTAGGCACTTTACGTACTCACCAGAAACCCCGTTTTACAGATTAGAAAACCATGTTTTAAAGAGGTAAGTCACTTGCCTATAGACCCCCAGCTAGGAAACAGTAGAACTAGAATTCTGGTCCGGATCTGCCTGACTCTAAAGCCATGCGCACCCACGGGGCCACCACGCCACCTCCTCTCAGCCTGGTGACTGTAAACCCAGTAGAAGAGGACAAGGGAGGGGTCAGTGGAAGCTAAGCCCCCATCCCTGCCACCACGCAGACGACAGGCCCCCACAGAGCAGCTCCTTGTCAGGTCAGGGGGCCCAGTGTGAATTCCTGGGGATGTGCTCTCTGCCTGTGTTTCTGATGTCCCCTTCACCCCAAGTAAAGGTGCTATTACTCTCTACCCGCTGCCCCCACCTTCTGAACACAAAGCCATCCATAACCTAACTTGATCATAATTGGGTTTTTAGCACATAATTACAAGATTAATGGATTAATCATAATTTATTTGCAAATCATTAAAAGCATTACTCAAAAACATTTTCCCCAAAGATTGTCTGGGTTGCCCAGGGCAAGATAATTAGAGAGACAGAGGAAAAAAGAAAAAAAATGAAAAGCACACACCATCAGCCTCATTAAAGATAATCAAATAAACCCACAAGTTAATTGAGCTAACTCTGCTGTCTGTGGTGCGCCGAGAAACCAGGTCTGTTTCTTGGTGCTGAATTGGGTCTTCAAGCACCATGTTAATGAATTACTCTGCCTAAATATTTTCCCATCCTTCCTTTTTCTGGAATAGCCTCCATTTGACGGTGAAGATGAAGATGAACTGTTTCAGTCTATAATGGAGCACAACGTTTCCTACCCAAAATCCTTGTCCAAGGAGGCCGTTTCCATCTGCAAAGGAGTAAGTAGATTCAGATCAAGAGGTTCAGCAGGGAAATTCCTTCTCCACACTTCCAAGAAAGATGGCGGAAATGCCACAGACTCCTGCCACTGCCTGTCAGCCGTGGAGGACCGGGGCTTGGTGTCGGGTGGGCCACAGTGGGAAAAGTGAAGGCTGGGAGGATGCATGGAAATCCCAGTGCTTCCTGGGACTCTGGCCCTGTCACCCAATCATAGTGCATTGGTTTCCAACCCTTTTCGTAAAATTGCGGTGGAGATTATCACAAGTCATCGCAGGCCCTTGGAAAACGTTAGTTCTTGGTCTCATGCTTCACTTGGCCTAAATTAGTTCTTTGTTAGTTTTTCTTCTTCTGAGATAAAACATACATACAGAAATGGGCACAAGTCATCAGTGTGCAGATAAATGAATTTCCACAAAATGAATAGGCCCATGTAATTGCACCCAGGTCAGGGACAGACCGTTTCCAGCACCTGAGAAGCCCCCTCCTGCCCTGTCTACTATCACTGCCCCAGCCCAAGACAGCCAGGCTCCTGAACCCTAACCACATGGACTAGTCTTGCCCGTTCTGAACTTTGCACAAATGGAATCTCACAGTGGGTGTTCCTCGACCTGGGTTCTTTCACTCAACATTGTGACTGCAGGTTTTATCTATGTGGGGACGTGGGGTTATAGTCCTCCTTTCAATGCTATGTAGTATTCCACTGTGTGAACATACATAGTTTCTCTATCTAGTCTACTGCTAGTGGATATTTGGGTTGTTTGCACTTTGGTTTGAGGCTGTTATAAATAAACTGCTATGAACCTTCTGGGTCATGTGTCTTGGTGCACACATGAACACATTTTTGTCAAGGAAATGCGTAGGAATGACTGGTTGTAACTTGGCTGGTTTTTAATGGTCAAGTTTTAGGTCACAAAATTATTTTCAGACTTAGCCAAATGGAGTGTAACGCACTCTTAATATTTTCTGGTGAGTTTGATCATTTGGGAAGCATTTATCACGTGCCTTCCAAAGGCAAGCACTTGGAAGAAATGCTAAGGTCAGGAAGAACTGGCTTCTGCCTGTAGAGAGCTCATGGTCAGTGCTCGCCGCTCCAGCCTGCAGTGGGCATGTTGAAATTAACTAGTTACCTTCCTTATTACGGCATTTATTTTTCCAATCCCGGAGTCTTTGATAGTATTTTGGCCCGGGCAATAAATAGGCACATGATGCTTGTGACACCAGACTGTGAGACTTTCAGGACACACAATTTTTAGTGATTGCATGCCTTTTTACCAGTTAAACGTATAGAATGGCAGCTCCAAAACAGATAGTGTATGAAGATGCCAGTTTAAATTCTTCTTTTTCCATTTGGCCATGGGTTCAGATTGCTTCTCTGTTTCCTTATCTTGAAAGTCACTATAGAAAGGCCTTTACTTGTCAGTGTCACATTTGTGAGTTGGGTTCACTGTTCAAGCCACTGAGTTTCTAGGTAAGCTTCCCAGGATGCCGTCCAGGTGTTCACGGAGTCAGGGCCATAGGCAGAGCCGGGCAAGGGAAAGGCTCTGTCGCTGGGAATCCACTGTCATTCAGTGTTCTCTTTTCCTCCCTTTCCTTTCTAGCTGATGACCAAACACCCAGCCAAGCGGCTGGGCTGCGGGCTTGAGGGAGAGAGGGACGTGAGAGAACACGCCTTCTTCCGGAGGATCGACTGGGAAAAACTGGAGAACAGGGAGATCCAGCCCCCATTCAAGCCCAAAGTGGTAAGTCCAGAAAAGCAGTCTGTTCCTGAGCCCCACCTCCCCAAACTCTGAGAGTGTCCCACCCCGCTTTTTCTTGGAGAGAGGAGGCCAGTGACCCCCCTGGCCTTGCAGGGCGAGTAAAATGGCCAAGTCCCAGCCTCGTCCTCAGTCCTGTGGGCTGAGAAACCAGGATTCCTGCTGACTTTGGGGACAAGGACGGGCAAGGGAGGGAGGAAGAACCTGTGTACACCTGGCCCTCCAGTAGGGCAGTGCAGAGCACCCCCCAAACAGTTAGAGAGCGAGGACAGGTCTGCTTTGGAGACTGGTCTTTGCAGACTCACATACCCAGCAGAGCTGTATACACAGCCCTGAGTCCTTGGCTGGACTCAGCTTCCTGTCCGTCTCCAGCGTGCCTGGATTCACCGTGCACCGGTGGGAGCCCTGAGGCATAACTCGATCTTAGCCAGCTCGTAGGCAGAGCCTGGGTGCAGCCTCACCTCGGCCACTGCCCCCTGCTGCAAGGAGAGTGTGTGTCACCCACCAGTTCTGATGTTGCCACCTTTATTTAGACACTTCCTGTGCGATTCTCTTTTTTTTTCCATTTATTTAACAAACACTATGTGCCAGGCCCTATTCTCTGTGCTTTACAAATATTCATTTAATCCTCCCAATAGCCCTGTGAGACGGGTGCTCTTGTCTTCCATTTGCAGTGGAGAAAACTGAGGCACAGAGAGGCTGAGTCACTTGCCAGAGGACACACAGCTAATAGGTGGCAGAACCAGGACAGAATCTCTGTCCTTACCACTGCACCATTGCTCTGTCTCCGTGACTACCCTGATTCTGGTTCTGTTGATCGCAGCAGTGCGTGCCTCGCTTACCGTTTGTATCTCTAGAGGTAAACTGAGAGTCTCTAAGACATCAGCATCCTCACTCACACCACCTGCCACTTCGCAGTGCCCCCGAGGGGGTCCCATCTCTAAGGGCCAGGCGGATGGTGCCTTCCAGCCCTGCCACCATCTTGGCCAGCACTGGACAGCCACCCCTAGTCCCTCTCCTCCGAGACTGCAAAGGGAGCTGCTTTCATCCACAGTCAGTTTCAGAGGTGTCCACTGTGTCGGCTCAGCTCAAATATGTCTCCTCGGACAAGTGTCCCGTGAGCGGGCAGAGGGGACCCCTCGGGGTGGCAGAGCTGCTGACTGGGTAGCACTCAGCTCTATTCTTAGAGCAGCAGCTTCCTCATCCTGTGTGCCTCTGTGTTCTCCACCCCAGAAATAAAACTGTGGTTGGTGAGCCCACTTGATTTTATTTTTCTAAGATATTTTTAGCACTCACATTAATCAGGTCAGTTGACTTTCTCCTGAGTCATCGTTTCAAATAGGGCCCTTAGGTATCTGCCACCCCCACCTTCTGTGTAGCCAGCCCTGCACACTGATTTCAGGAGCTTCTCATGGGATCCTACCCCTCAATGTACAAAACCTGGTTTCTAAGGTTTGGGGGGGCTGGCCAGAGTGATAAATGATGCTGCCGATGGTCTCAGTAGAAAATTCTGTTAGGGAGTTTCTTTTTTCCCTTTTGCCTTTTATATTGTCTTCTTAAATTAAAATATGAAGGGTATACAATAACATCTTGAACACAGTTTAGTTCCTTTACAGGAACAACATAGAGTTGCACGCTGACCCTGCTTTAAAGGTTGAGCAAAATACAATTACTTATCAGTCACTTTCCAGAAAGAACTGAGTTGCGGCAAAGCTCACCATAAAACCATCTTTTTTGGTTTATTCCCACCTTATTTCAGAAGAGAGTATTTGTTTGCATGGTTTCCCACTTTTTGTGGCTCCTTGTCCCTGAACTTGGATGTGGATAGACAAGAGGGTGACTTGGTTCTGGCAGCCGAGATCGTAGGTGGTTCCCCATGGGCCGTGTAAACCACTGGGGCAAAGTCGTGCCCGTGGCAGACGCTGCGTCGGGAGCAGTGTTTGTTTATTTTTTATTCCTGGAGTACTGCTCTTTGTCTGCCTGCTTTTTTTTTTTAACTGAGTCCTGGTTAAATTAAAAAGGAAGAATAAATTTCCTCTGGCTGTGAAGAAGCAGCCCCTGAACTCACAAACAGAAGCAGAAATCGCAGACCAAGTCCCCAAAACTGACGGTTCTGTGTGAACGGCTGCGCTTGGCGAGAGCTCGGGCCAGAGGAGGGGAGAGGCCACGTCTGCTCAGAGACTCCTCAGGCAGAAGCCCGTGTTCTGCGAGAGAACCTGTGCACGCAGGAGGAGGAAGAACAGACGACAGGAGATGGGACCACAGGAGAAACAGCACAGCAGCGGAGGTCAGAAGCCAGAGGGTCCAGGGCAAAGTAATAAATGGGCAAGTTCTGGTCCCCAGGAGGACAGCAAAGAGCGGCTTGAGCTCTGTTTCCCCCAGTCCCCACGCCTGCCACGCCCAGGCAGCAGCTATGGGGCAGCGTGTCTGAGACCAGAGCACCAGAAACACCACGCGAAGACCAATTCCAGCAGTCGAGGAGGACATTTAGCACAGAAGAAAGCACCCGAAGTCAAGGCTGCAGAGTACTCTGTGGTTAACACGAGCAGCGGGGAGCTCGCTGCATAGCAAAGCTCCCCTGTGATGTGTCCCCCTTCCGTGGTGAGAAGTGTACTGTAATGCCCTGAGCCGGAGCTAATCGAAAAGTCAAAGGAGCTTACAGATAAAATGCAGGGCTGAACGTTCCCTAACAGGCGGTTTTGTTATTTCAAAGAGAGAGGCAGCACGGCGAGCCCAGCCTGCGCTGCTCAAGAAAGCAGAACAACTGGGGAAACACATTGCCGCCAGACGCTGTCACTGACCGCGGGCACTGAGCCCGTTTCTGAGAGGGCCTCGCCTCGGAGCAGTTCCAGTAGCCCCAGCTGACCAGCCTTGTCTGTCGTGGTGAAGTTTGCCTGGTCCATGTTTTTTTTTGTACAGAGTCTCACTGTGTTGCCTGGGGTAGAGTGCCGTGGCATCGTCCTAGCTCACAGCAACCTCAAACTCCTGGGCTCAAGCGATCCTTCTGCCTCAGTCTCCTGAGTAGCTGGGACTACAGACATGCACCACCATGCCTGGCTAATTTTTTCTATATATTTTTAGTTGTACGATTAATTTCTTTCTATTTTTAGTAGAGACGGGGTCTCACTCTTGCTCAGGCTGGTTTCGAACTCCTGAGCTCAAACAATCCACCCGCCTCGGCCTCCCAGAGAGCTAGGATTACAGGCGTGAGCCACCGCGCCCGGCCCTGGTCCGTGTTTTAGCATGTGCTGGTGAACCAACTTCCCTGAGACTGAGAGCACCGAGGACTGGCAGCTGCTCTCACGTGCAGAACCGGAATTAGCCTTTGCTTACTGTGAAATATTAACACTAGCAGCAGCAGTTCACGTACTCACAATTATTTGCTGGGCACTTCTGCAGACCAGGTTTGCGCTTGTAGGATCAAGACTCTGTCATCTTTGTTTTACTCTATTTTTTAAATGTTTTTGAACCTCCAACGAAAGATTATTCCAGAATCACCGACTTCCCTAAGGAGGACAGAGATAATCTATTGCTTATCCAGAGGAAACGGCATTCCCATAGCGTGCTACCTTTTTTTCATCTTCCTGACTGCCATCGTGACATCACTCAAGTTAGCCTTTAGAACAAAGCACCGTGCAAACTGTGAGATCCCCCCACAGAAGACATTCCACAATGCCGTGATCCATCACGAGGCTCTGCACAAGACTGTCTCATGGTGACATTAAAGGAGAGAGGAGAGTGACCAGAGTTGGGTGTTGGGAACTGTGGCCATGTCCCCTGACAAAGACAAGTCCAGAGGCTGGGAGGTGAGGGAAGAACCTGCCCTGTAGCAGCCAGCAGTGGGAGAGTCCAGTCCTGGACGGAGCCATATCTGTCCCCAAAAGGCCACGTGTGCCACTGGGAAGATGAAGATGATTTTCCAGAAGACAGAACAATCACTTGGCAGGGCAGAGCCTTTCTTGTGCTGGTTTATTTTGTAGAACAAAAGCAAAGACAACAGCAGACAGCTGTGCCATGCTCTCCTGGAGATGAGACAGCCACATATCCATCTCTTCCTCCTTGTGAGAAACGTGCAGAGCAAGCTGGTTTTGGGGACCGCTTCAAGGAAAGACAGCACAGGGGACCCTCTGCTCCGCAGACAGGGATCTCAGCTCGGCGTTTGCCTGGTATTGTCAGCAACAATCCACGTCATTGGAAAGAGGCCCAGTGATGGTCAGAAGATTCTGTGTAATGAAGCTACCTTTTATTTAAGTTTAAAAAAGATGTCGCTTCTGAAAAGGTTAATCTGCAGTTACCGAGGGAGAAGCCAGTGTCTGCCCTGCCTCCCATGGGGTCCCGTGGAGGAGGGCGGGTGCGGCCAAGCCCACGTGGCCCAACAACGGGAAAGCCCACCAAGGGAAGGAGAGTGCGTTCTTTCTGCTTCGCCTGAAACACAAAAGCCCCAGTGTTCTGAGCCAGTGTCACTTTGAATTTTGTAGGCTTTTATTTATATATAATTCATGTCAATAAAATGGCCAAGAATAGCTTTCAAATGTCCACTCATCCTGCCTGTGATGAGTAGCAGTTTATACAAATACCGGGAGTATAAAGTTAATTGATTTTTCTTTTTTAAATGTCTATCCATTGACACCAAGGAGCCAGAAACTTTCACTGTACTTGATTGGTTATTAGAGAGAGAGAGAAATGAACCTATAAAGTTAACACAAGAGGTATATTCCAGAGTAGACAGGTAGACAGAGCACTTTGGAAATAGGCCTTTCACAGGTGGCCTTTCTTAGGAAATTACTGTCATTATTTTATCAAAAAGAGAGAGGAAAAAAAATAGAACAACTGTCATCAGGACATTGGCATCCTTGCGGCAAGAGCCACAGAGAATAGGAGCGCTGAGGGCAGGTGTAGGCGTCACTGCGGTGAGAACATGGTCGGGACTCCCTCCCAGTCACCACGGAGTCCTGTATCTCACAGTGCTGTTAGCGTGTTTGGAG